GAACGGCGTTTCCCTCGACGCGCCTCTTTCTCTCAGGGAGCGCGTATCTGCTGCCCTCAAACGCTGACGATACTATTTGAGTACGTCTCTGTGTGGTTTTGTACAAATCACCGGGCACGCTCCGCAGGTACATGATGGTGAATCTAGAAATGGGTGAAAGGCAGAAGGTCCGATTTGGCAGGTTTCTGCAATCTCTCCAGGGTGTTTACTCGAGCGAAGTATCACCTCCAATGCTATGTCTGACGCAGGACATGATAATTTCACAGCTTTAAGAGCTTAGAAGAACTAAACCTAAAATTGAATGTTTCACAAGTTCCTCACAGAGTACTTCAGAAAAAATGAAGTGTACACTTAAATAATTGAGATAATGCCTCAATTTCCGAAAACAGAATGGTTTGAGAAAACTAAAAGGGATTATGCTTGGCTGGCATAAATTGAATCTTTAAAGATGTGCTCACGGTAGCTGTGAATGAAGTCTTGCATCTCTCTTTTTCCAGCGTCTCCTAGGATGAGCAGGCTGAAGACAGCCTTCCTGAGGTGTAGAAGTGCACAAAGACCTTCGCAGTTCTTGACACACAGCAGAGATTGAGCAGGCCCTGGCACCTCTTGGACACAGTGTCAGGTATCCTTCTATTTACTCTATTGTATTGTCCCCACTGAAATGGGCTCCTGATGTGTGACTGAGGGCACACACCTAAAGCACCATTTAAAGCACAGTTTTTTGAATAGTTCATTGTTTCCTGATTCATTTTAACACATTATTTCAGTTGGTGAACAAGAGCTTTAGGGTATGTAAAATTAACATAACCTTATGGTTTTCTTACAGATATATCTAAAAATATAACAGAACGGTTTTTGTATCACTGTTTGCCTACCCAGAAAATCAATGGTCTGTTTCCACGAGAGATTTTGGGCCCCAACTCTTTTTCAAATCTCAGGATTATCTAATCAGAATTCCATAAAAGAAAAAACAAAGACATTAGCGTGTCCAGACTAAGGTGAAAATCAGGTGTCAAGTCCAGAAAAAAATTGCTATATTCAATTTAGTGAAAATATGATCAGAAAATGCTGGTTTTGTTGAAATTGGGAATCGTTATATACCTTTACCTCTGAATTAGTGTAAATACATGGTACCATTACCAAGGCAGTTCTGGTAGGCACCCAAAAGATCCCAGCTCTATACAGAGTCACCATATATTTGCATAAATATACTAAAACTCATTGTGAGACTTGCAAATCACCTCTGCACTTCATAAATCTTGACCAAAAAAGTCTATTTTTCAGCAACTGAGGCTTAGTTTCATATGACAGCTGTGCACAATAAATTAGATTTGCATCAATTTAGGAACTTTTCCATGATCCTCATGTTCATTGGGTACTCAAGCTGTAGAGAGCTCAACAATGTAAATAAACCAGGCCACTTTAAGCATACTTATTTGCCAGAAGTGAGGTGCATGCTTGATATCTTTGCTGAATTATAGCGTATTGTCTACATACTTAAAATATTTTTGAATGCACTTGTTACAGATGGCATGCAAATATTTGGAAATTGGTCAGGGATTTGGCAAAGCATGAGGAGTAAACAGTCTAATGCAGTGAAATACTCAAAGCATAATTTGCTGATGCAATCCTTGCTTGTCCCTTGCACCCTCAACTTTTGCATGAGTTGATTCAACCACTACTGCGGCTGAAAACCATTGTTGGAAGGAGGGGGAAAGGAAAGCAGGGGCAATAGGTTTCTGCACAGATCCTGTGTTACATCAGGTTGCAGAGAAGTTCTGCAAATACCAGTCTGAAGTTAAGTAGCGGGAGGGCATGGCTGTCAGGGCAGTGTGGAAAGGCATACAGAACCTCTTCCTTTTGGCTGCAGTGAGCTCTTAAATTATCTCAGGTAATCTCATTAAAAGGCACTCTTGGATTGCAGCTCTGCTGCAGCCAAGTTGTATGAACACTGGAGCAAAGCTGGGGGCAGTAATACCTATGAAAATTTAATTTTTTCTGTCTGAAGCTGATAGAATAATCTTTATTGTGTGGGGACGTAACAGGAAAACTTGGCTGGCATCTCAGTACACTTAAATGCAAAGTCACTCATTTAACAAGTAACATCCCACTTGAAGACTCCACGAAACAGCACTGACCAAGAAAATTATCTGTAGCAGCCAGCCAACTGAATACGTGTCAACTAAAACATGAGGAGCCATCACCGTAATGGAGTGACTAAGAAAACAAATGTTGTCCTTGCCCCTACCAGCAAGAAAAATGATTACGGCAGTATTTACATTATCAAGACCAGTCCTTGTATACTTTTAGAAACAATGGACAGTGAAGTAAGTAGTGTTTTAACTGGGAACATACAACATGGCCTTTTCCATGCCGCAAGAGCCTGTGGACCTAGGGAGCGCCTCCAGAAGGCCAAATGCTTTGAGGGATTTGGAATGCCTCAAGGTTTTGGTCCATGATTAACTATGGCACACCCTGCTGAGCTAAGAAACTCACTGGTGTGGAGCTAGAACTGTTCTTTGGCATACACCCCAAATTAAACTGTCTCGCTTTAGATACAGTACTGCCATCAAGATTCTTATCCTTGGGGGCCTAGAGGCCACTGTCCCCTTGCAGTTTTTAAGGATTACAGTGGCAAAAGTAGGTCTAGTGCAGATTCACGTTACAAATGTCCTCCCACATTGGATATATGTGTTGTGGTCCTCATTTTCTGTGCTTCATCCCTTGACAGTACACTGCACATGTTAGCCTTTCACTGAAATAGTGCTCCCCCACTACCATACTTACAAAGTCCTTCTGAACCATCAGTAGACTCCTGTATGAGATTCTTACTGGTATTAATTTGTAAATTTAATGTATGTTTTTACTGACAGTTCTAAGAATGAATAAACAGCTTTTCATCTTTCCAAACAGACGCACACCATCCAAAGAATCCCTCAACTATTTCCTGATACACCTGTGTAGGGAGAAGTGAGACTAATAGCTACAAAGTCTCATCTTAACATTCCTCATGAATCCTCTTTTGCAATGAGAATATACTTATTCTCCCACCCCCCTGACTCAGGCAACTCATGTGATTACAGAGAGTCACCTTGTTTCAAAAAAGCCGTATTTTACTGCTTATTTTAGCTACCTTGGTTTGACTTATTTCTGGAGGTGTTATGTTTAATTGTTTTCATATGAGTATGGCAAATTAAAAATGGCCATACCCACAGCTCTATTTTTAGATTATTAAATGCAAGTATCGCAATGACAGCTGATTGAGAACGACACCAAGTCAAAGTTTTGGCTATACTTTTATTTACTTCACGTACTATGAACATATACATTACATGCTACAAAAAATAAAAAAAGACTTTAACTGTCAAGAAAGTGGATAGTGTTATAATACAATGGCACATGTTCATATTTTTCTTCAAACTGGTTTGGTTAGAATCCTTCCCCAAAACCATTAACAAAAATGAAGTGTTTTACTCTTAAGATGATTAGAAATATTTGCATTATTAACAAATACAATTCAAACAGATTAACGAGATTTAACCAGGTCAAATATTAGTAAAAAGGCTGGGGTTTACCAAAATGAAATATATATTAAAAAACCATAGCAGCCAGTTGTACTTTTTAGTGTGATATAATGTGTAAATGCACCAGAAGAACACAGTGTAATTGAGCATTCTGCTTTCACGGTGTATTTCTAGAAATGATTATTCTAGTTCTAACACCTGCCTATGCACAAGAGACCAAAAACACAGCCAAGTAGAGACAAAAGATTGTGACCAACATTCTTAGCAATGATTTTTTTGCACGCATCGGGGAGAAGGGAGGGAACAAATAGAAGAGGATAAACAAAGGCCACAAAAGGATTTAATCTACATGTTCATGAACATATGTTCTACCTATTTTCCTTTAAGAGCTTGATAAGTTGAAATGTCTATTTCGTCCAAATGCAAACATACTCATTTCTATCACCTATGAAACAAAAATCACATTTCGGCTTAGAACTGAATAGTGGAAAACAGTTGCATTAATGTATCACTTGACTAAGAAAAACTGCTTGACAAGAACTTAGGATTCTAGTGCAACAGCAGCTATTAAGACTCCTCTAGTTTCTTTTTTTTTTTTGCTCTTTCGAAGTGTACAAATATTTGCAATTTATACAGTCTTAACAAAAACACATCTACAAAGTTTGCAGGGTATTTGCTAGTTAATTCAATTTATGTCTTTCATACTAAAAAGGCAAGATTTGCATAATAAAATGTTCTTTTGGTATCTTAAAATAATTGCTGATTGGAAAGGTACAAATATATGGGCTTTCATTAACTGCAATTGGAAAAAATACTTCAGAACAAACTGTGTTACTCTAAGAAGACACAGTTCATTATGTTTCTTTTGCCATACCTGAAGAAATATACAAGCATATATGGGCAACTGATAAACTCAGTATTAAGTCTGTTATTTAGATTGCAGCTATTGAAAAAAAATATCAGTCATAGTAAATATCAAGGTCAGAGGAAAAATACAAATTAGCCTTAAAGAAACCAATGTGTTACAGAACCTAGTTTCTCAATTTTTTTCCTCAAAGTAAATTTTGTACTAAGCTAGAAGAGATCCCACAATCACTGGCATATCACCCTAACCAGAATAGCAATCCCAGCTAGAATAGTACTGCAATTCCTTTGTTACCATTCTTACACCACTGTCACAACTGTCAGTTTTCTAATAATCTTCAGTAGTGCTTATGCAATTGGTGATGGAAAAGCATGATTAATGTACATTTGGCATTAGTTTACACAATTAATGAGTGCCCATTACCTGAAAATTAGTCAGACTTGCTGATGGATTAGTTCTGAAGTAAAACAACTAGTACTTAAATATAACAGCAATATTGTAATTTCCAGCATGTTACACAGTTCTGAGGTAAAGTGTTACCAGTATTCTGTTGTATGGGTCGGTGCCTTGCAGCGATAGCCTTTGCAGTGGGAACTAGGCATCGCAGCATTTACAACCAATGAGCCATTCTGGTCACATGGTTTGTATCAACCAAAATAACATTTTCAGTTTGATACTATTTAGAAAAACTGTTCTGTATGGATTACACTGTAGTCAAAGTTACAAAATTTGTTTAAGTTTGGTCACTAGAGTGCTGTGCTTGGAAAACAATCCAGGGTACAGGCAAGGGATAGTTACTTCAGTGTTTAATTTCAGTTTACAAAACTTACTGAATCCATTCTGATTTATGTTAGAGAAAACCAGATAATTAGAAGAACAGACTAAAAAAAAAAAAAAGAAACCAAAACCAAGCAGTGCATAATACCACCTATTCAATGCACTGATTTTCATTAAGAGCTAGGAAGCCTTATTTACTCTATTATGCCTTTTGAGAATCAATCCAGAAGCACACAAGTATTTTCCATTAGTTTATTAAAATTAAAATCCTCATGAATTCACTATCAAATATTTTACAGATGGGAATTAAACCAGAAGAGTCCCCAGAGTAACTTTAAAATAAAAGTAATATTTGGTTTGTCAGTTCACCATGTTTGACACTGATTTGTACTGTAAGAGTATTGTACAATAGAAGCATTGAAGAATTCTAGAAAAATTAAACTGGCCCTATATAATTTAATTTTATTGGAAAGCAGTGTCAATATTTTAGTATATTTAGTGAATCAAACACTGCTTTAAAGCTATGCATTAAAGTGCTACGCACGTATTTTTCAGCACTGATATGGATGTTTACACTTCCATAAGCCTTATATTTGTGGATAAAAAGAGATACTGGTGTGTTAATAGAAATCTTAATTTAAAATCAGCTGCTATATTTGAAGCATCAACAGTACTGAAGAAATCAATCTAGTGTCCACAAGCTTCTAGAATTCCGAGGTTGATTTGATCTGTCATTTACCATTAAAATGGTAAGCATCTGTAAATCATAAGGCTGTCCCCAATGGGCTCTACATAAATCTGTACTGTGCATAGTTAACTGACCATGCAAAGTACTATATAGCCTTTCTAGGACAGAGAATTCAGGATGGAAAAAAAAAGTATGGAGAAAGCTCCAGGATAAATTTGTGAAATTTCTATCTATGTATTGAATTGTCCAAGGTTGATGTTCATTGCCTGAGGAAGAAGCAACATAAGCAATAGGACCGGAGAGAGCTACAAATGTTATTGTAACATCTACATGACTGCTTTCTCCAACTGCTACTGCTGGCAAGGTCCAGTCTGCTGTGCACATGGACATAAGCAGGCATTACAACCTATAATCATGTACTAGTTCTGCCACTTGACACACAAGTTATCTACTGTCGTACCCTGAATTACATGACCCTTAATTAAGGAATGGTGGTGTTCAGTCCCAGGGGTTTGCAGGTTATCAGAATGCTTATACAAGCAATACCGCTTTCAACATCTGTCGGAACATAGTCTTGATGGCATCTGCAATAAAAACAAGTTGAGATTGTTCCCATCTCTAAGCGCAACTGTTGAGCCACACTCAGCTGAAGTCCTCATCAGGATTCTGTTGATCCAGCAGGTGGACATGTGTGAATGGAAAGTGACCACGTCTGCCATTACATTCTCCTTCCCACTGACCACTCACATTAATCTTTGTGACCTTTACCAGCTCACCGACCTGCAGGATAAGAAACAAGGAAGTGTTACAATTCATAAAAACACATAGGATGAGCTGCTACCTCTCCCCTTTGGTGTCATATCACCCAAGTGTACCAGATACACTTCTATAAAAAGTAGTTTTAGTCTTGACCATTTTTGATACACCAGTCTACCACCCAATGTTATTCAGTCCTGAAGAAAGTATAAAGAGAAGTAAGCATACCTAGATTAGGTGAGAACTATCTAAATTGAAGAGCCTGCAATCCAATCTTTCAGAGCACCCTTGGGACTTGACATCAGCTACTATCACAATAAATGCATCTCGCTGAATTGATAGACTCTTACACTATGCTTGTACTCCATCAACAACCTCATTAAGGGAGGTAAGTCTTGCAGGTGTACAAAGTGAACACTGATCTGCAAGCTAAACAGCTCCTTAATTTTGAAATTCCACTAAGTGCTTTTCGGGTAGTATTGAGAAAGTTCTGGGTACATGGGGGATCTCTCTCCCTCTCCCCCTGCCTCCTGGATTATAAAACACTGAAAGAATAGGTGGGGGAATAAGAAGTAGTGCTGCAAGGCTGCTCTGTTCTTACTCTGAGCATCCACAACTAGCCACTACAAGAGGCAAGGCCAGATGATATTTCAGTCTTGCCCACCATGGATTTCTCACATAAATAAATTCCATGGATAAAGACAATTGGTGCCTCCTCCCTCTTATACCCAAATTGTTTGGCTAGAAAAAATAAAAGAATGGTTACTATGGACCAATGAAACAATATGCTTTAGTTTAAAAGTATCCAGTTGTAATGTACTACACTAAATAAAAGCACAGTAATACATCTCATATTCTAGTCTCCAACCTAATGTTCACATAACCAATTCTAAAGGTATTGTCTGCCTTTAACAAAGGTGGAAAAATGCACAGCAGTCACTTTCCCAAGGCTGTGCAGTCAGGTAGTTCAAGTTGGGGCCACAAGTCTTGGTCTAACCAGTCCCCAATTCTGTTGAATCTTGAAGGGTACTTTAGTTAAGTAGCACTTACACAACCTAAGAAAGCACAATTTACATTGTAAAGACAGTCACTGGAGAGTTAATAAATGCGATATTGAAAAGCTGTCTACCCATTTCTACCCCTCTGTGTAGAATTTTATCAATAATCTCATTTACAAGTAACATACAACGGTTATCCAAATTCTTCCTGGGTCACAGACAGAGAATGCTTTTGGGACAGATATACTCTATTTTCTTTTGCTAATACTGTAAATAAACTCCCAAGGCATGGCCACAAGCCTTACTGCATTTCATCCAGAAATTCACTGAATATACAGTTACTAGTTTACACAAATGCTTATCACTGTGTTCCAAATTAATCCAAACCAGAATCTCATTATTCTCACTTTCCAGGCAGTGAATGAAGAACAAGGAAAACAATTTAAGATGTTACCAATCTCCATTAACTTCACAGGTTTTAATCACTTGCAATCTTTTGCCAGAACAGCTTTTAACAGTTCATAAATTCAAAGCACTACACGGACATTTAATTAAGCTTCCCATACCTCTGATGATTACTTATCTGGTAATGAGAGGCACACTTGGGACTCTTGCTGTAGCTTTATTTTTTTCCTTTTGTAGTCATTAGTATAGACATTTTAATGAATCATATTTTGAAGAAAATCCTCTTATGTATTTGCTACAGGCAAAAAGGAAGCCTTCCTCAACTACTGAATGCTAGTTTCAGCTCTTTAGGAATTTAATCATGCAGTATGTCTAATTTTGCTACTGCTAATAATCACTGGGGGGGGGGTGTGTGTGTGTGTGTGTGTACAAATAAAAATACTCTGTTGACCAAAACAATACATCAGCTATAATTTAACAAGGACAAGATTAAATGTGACAATACTAGAAGCAGAAAATTTTATTTCCTAATCACAACCATTACAAGAATGCTATCCTAGATAACTTTAAATTGCTTCAGACCTAGATATAATCTACGTATCAGCCTTCAAGAGAAAAGTATATAACCTCCAACCCACTAGTAAAGAAAAAGCACAAGTTGCACTTAAGCTGGCTATCTGTAAGATATTTTTCTTAGACTGCTGGCCTTTGCTCTTATTGAGTATCACACACTACTTTATGTTCATATAGTTAGTTTATCTTGGATACCTTATGACAAACTCACCTGAAAAGGTGGGTTCAACAGTGCAATGATAGTGAGTAATAATATGGGATGCTTGTGACATTCCCTTGCTCCCAGAAGCATCCTGTAGCTGTTTGTTTGGTTTTCAGGGGTGTTTCAGGGTCATTGCAGCAAAGGGACACCCATATATGAATTCTCCTTACTCTAAGAAGCTACACTCGAAATCTGCATTTCAATAATTGTTGAAAGAGGAAAGACCTCTGAGGATTAAAAAATATTCCTTTTTTACCATTACGGTAATTTCATTTAGCAACCACTCTCTCTTTCTGATACAATCTTTCATTCACATTTCATTTATATGTAACTTTTAATTCCATTTATATATATCTACCTTTACACCTATCAAAGCAGGACTGACTTTAAGTAAGCATGGGTCATTTCACAAATACTAGCTTAATAAAATGGCTCCATTAGTTCCTTAATAACTTAGAGATCTTTCTAGATCTGCTTTGAAACTCTGCATATTAATCTACAGTTCAAATACTCTCCTGAAGACAATGCAGAGAACCTTTCAAAAAAATTACTCATTATTACAAGTGCTGGAATTTTAAAACATTTAGACTAGAAGTGGATGTTCTCTCTGAATTCTCCTCACTTTTAACATTGACTTACGGTATCGTTAGTCTATTGTGCATCATCCCACCACGCACAGCACCTCAAGAACAACACTGTACCCTGCTATAAAGCCAGATTTGTCTCAGTCTTCATCAGAAGTTTTAAAACTAAATATATCCCATACGCTTCAAAGCAAAAATGAAGGTTCATGTGAAGACTTCTGTATGCTGTGGTTTTATTCCAAGTACTCCTCTTTGGTAAGGTCAAGATGGCAGAGTTCTGCTACTGTTACAAAGAAAAAAAATAAATCGATCGATCTCAGAGTTATTCACCACATAGATCTTCCCTTTTTCTACTCTCTTCTCTCTTAATTAATACAGACAACTCCTTGAATAGGTCCAGTTACAAGCAAAATAAGTTATCTTCTGCTGAATCTTTTTTCTGTAATACAGCAAAGCCTTTATTAGGACATCATTTGCTCTGATCCTCCTTCCTTGAGCTCTTCAAAACCATGTCAGTTATAAAATAATAAAACAGTACAGATATTCTCTTTGCAGTTTGGGCCAAAAATGTTTGATGTTAAAAATCTATTTTCCTAAGAGAAACAGTGGGATCCACCCCCACCCATGAATATTGCCAGATTTAAGGATAAGAGTTTTCATTTGGAAGGAATCCCACTTGCTATATTTATAGTTATTAAGAGGTCTGGGCAAAAGTGGACTGATAAGATTTACATAACACTTTCTACTAAGTTATCTAAGAAAGAGATCTCTAAATAAACAGAGAAGGAACACCATGAAGTGAAAGGGAATGTGAAAAAAGGAGACAACAACAAACAGTACTTTGATAGACAGGATGAAGAAAAATTTGGAGAAAGTCAAGTGCATATTGCTATTTTTTCCTGTACAGACACTGAAAGCAACTCAGTAACATTGTGATTCAAAATTATAAGCGCTGAAAAGAAGCTAGGAAGGCCTACTAGAAGCAGTGATAAATGGCTCAAATTTTAAAATTAAAATTTCCCAATATTATACACAGAATAAAGAACCACCACTATTATTGCATTTCTTAAATGTAGAGCTGTAGCAAGACCGGAATACATAATCCTAACCAAGAGGTTCGACATGTCAACCAGTAAGTATTTAAATAAGTTTCCAAGGTCTGCAAAGGCCATTGTTCTATTATACAGGTAGAAAGACACTATAAATCTTACATCCTCACACAGACGAGCTGAGCCTACACACTTCTCAGTTCCTCCCTCCCAAACACTTCATCTATCTAGTGTTTTATCATAAGTTAGTAAAAGACGCTAGCGGTGCAAGCTAACTCAGAAGAGAGAGAGATTCTCCATGAAACTACATTTTCTAAAGCACAGCATACTTGCCAGATCATGTGAGTTTTAGCGAAGAGGATTGAACTAACATAAGATCAGCCATGGCACTCACAAACTGTTCTTCAGCATGTAAAGGGTTTTGCTTTCACTCAAAGTTGCTCATGATAGCCTGGATTACCAGTATTTTCTCACTCTCTCTATATCACTTCATGCTACCAAGCTGTGAGTTGGGCAGTGTTGTGGGGTTCTGCTTTAAGTGAAATAAAATGTAAAGTTAAGCTTAAAAGAACACTAGTAGCACACTAATAAATAAAGGTTAAAAACAAAATCCAGAAGGAGAATCAAAAGGTTTTGATAAATATGCACCACATAATATCCAGTGGCTCAAAGAAAACGTAACGTCTGGTAACTGCAACAGTCCAGAACAACATTCAGGAGTATTTCCAAGCTCCAGGAGGTGGCTGGGTGGAGAGAGTGAGAAAAAGAGGGAGAGAGACAGCATTTTAGGCTGTATGAAAGTCTGAAGGTTAAAATCTTCACGTGTTTCCCCAAAATCTGGTGAGTTAGCATAAACTTCTATACATGCTTCTCAACCCAAAAATTTATGTTCTGTACCCTGGATCTCTTTTGATTCAGAAATATAACATATAGTAACTCAAGAGTATATTTACATTGCTTCTCTAGACAAATTTTTACCTACAACAGGAAGAAATTTCACACCTCCCAGATTGCACATCAATTATCAGATCTGTAGAATGTGCTGCATTTGCCAATTCTGTAATAAAGACACATACCTATAGTAACCACATCACTGAAGTACTGAAGTGCCCTTTATGCTATGCACAATTAAACAAAGTATTTGAGAGTGAAGAGGAGATGCTCTGACTCAGCACAGAAACTGTTTTTTCCCCAAGTACTTAAATTGTTATATAAACAGGAAGTCAATTAGGTATCAGGAAATTCCAGAGCCTTTAGCTCAAAGAAAGCCTAGATTAAAGGATCCAATTTACATATCATCCTAAGGCAAAGGTCTGCCACTGAGAATACCTTAGTCTCAATTTCCTCACATGTAACTTGGGGGATAACTATCTGATGTGTGGAGATAGAGTACTCTACTCTCCTTTTTAAGAGGAAAAAAGATCAAAAAGGGCATGCACAAGTACTTGATCATATCAGGAAGTGAATCAACCTTAGGTAAACTTACTGCTTTATTACAAATCATACTCCATCAATCACTGCTTTACACAAGACCTCCTTAATGAATTGTAATGGTATGTTCCTGCTTCACAAACTAAAACCCAAAGTAATCTGCCTGAGGTCAAGATGTTACAATAAAACCCTATGTGTGATCATCATCATCATCATCTCAGTCTCTAATTTGAAAGTGACTATCAATGTTTCCACTGATTGCTTTTAAACTGCAGACAGACTGGGGAGGGAGGGTGGGGCAGGGAAAACAAACAACCCAGCACACCTTTAAGATTGAGGTTAGGCAAGCAACAGTGAACACAGGTTCAGACACACAACTTATGAACTGCTCCCTCTCCCTCCCCCCTAAAATAAAGGCTTCAGAAGTGAAAACATGGATGGGGAAACACTTATGTTAGTGATGTTTGACAAAAGACATGATATTGGTTCAGTAACCTAAACATGCTATAATAATCAAACTCTAGTCTACAAGTGACTCTAGTCACTTATTAAAAAAAAATAAAAGCCTTTATCCATAACTTATTAATCATGATGTAAAACCAGTATTACAATGCTTTTCCCTTTCATGTTCCTACAAAACTATAACGTGATTGAAAGGGAAATCCCTTGAACAGATCTCTTCTTTCTAAGTTTTGCCCATTATGTACCTCCAAAGCCAAGGCTGTCTTGTCGTAGGCATTAGGGACTCGCTTCTGGATAACCCGGGCATAAATAGGGCCATTCTGAAGGTTAGGGAGCGGAGTGTTGATGCTGGGCTGGGCATAGGGCCCTGGCTCCGGCCCACCCAGTGGTTGTGGGTGGGAACTATCCTGGTTACCTCCAATCAGAGTAGATACTGAAGCAGAGGAAGGTCTATACTTCTCGACGTAAGGAACAGGTATCATTCCCCTCTTTCCTTCGCTGTCTTCTGCATTCCACCATTGCTCTTCAGGTTTATCCCGGATTCTCAGTATGTCTCCTTTCTTAAATGGAAGATCTTCTTCATCATTTCCATTAAAGTCAAAGAGAGCTCGCACATACTCAGCTTCCTCCTGCCTGAGGATAACACCACTATTCTGCCTGGATCGGGAAACTGGTTCTATCAAGGTTGTAGTGTCCAAATAGTGTATTTTGTAGAATTCCAGTAAAGATGGCAAAGATTCAAACTCTTGGTCACCTATTCGAAATCTGGTGGGATTCAACCCTGAAAGAAGAAGGCAATATGTCAAAGAGAGCATACAACAGTTAAAACTGTAAATTAAACATTTGAGAAGATGAATACATTTACAGATAAGTAATTTGATACTTGGTCATCTTTAGATCAACATTCATCATCAACACTCTTCTGTGTATGTCTAATCAAAGACAGCACTATCATGATCATGAGGACAGAGTTTTATTTTTAAAGATTTTGTCAAAGAAAGAAAGAAGAAATTGTTTGGCACTGCCAAACTTCCCGAATTAGGATAAAAATATCTTGTTTCCCTGATTATATAGACCCAACAGATAAAAATGTTCAGTACATCCAAGTTTCTCAGGAGCCTATACAATTTTCAGTAACAGACAATTCCCTTTTTCCTGTTTTATACTCTAAGTCTAGGAAGCAAATGAAATTTGGGTATAATTTCAATGAAGTGGTTTGGGGTTTTTTTTTTAAAACTCTTTTGCAGTTCAAAGTTATTTCAAAAGGACAACACTGCAACAATGGTTATTTACTTGTTGTAATGTATCGTGGGTTAAAGGCATGGATACTACAGAAAAATGCTTAGCACAGCAGCAAACAATTTATGTGAATGAGCAAATGAAGTTATTTTTCATTTTGATAAAAGGTACCGTTAGAGAAAATTATGTATATTTTATGCAACGCAAAGCAACAACATATGTTTTCATAATGGGTATAATTCAGTCTTTTAATCTCAAGTCTTGTAGTTTCTTTGCCATATTTGTCAGATGGAGCCTAAGCTATAAATCTGAACCTCAAATACATTAAAATACAGATGATGTTCATATTCAAGTCATTAGAAGTATCAAAGCGCAGATATCCATTTCAGTTTTCAATCTGTGCGCTGCACTTTTTTTCCGTTTTATGCTCTTCAGGCTCAGCTGGGGAAAAACATACACATGATGTTCTATTTCCACCATGCACCATACACTGTGTAATCAGTTATGGGAAGAATTGTGGAAGGCTGGGGGAGGGTAGTGGAGAGGAAAAGATTTATGCTTTAATGAGTAACTCTTAGCAAGAAAGAGATGCTTACTTTGCAAGTCTGTTTCTCTGCAGGGAATATCTAACAGTTCCGAGACTTAGCTCTCGAGTACAAAGCTAGCAGAATTCTTCAAGCTGTCACTGATCCAAAACCCCCTTCAAAGTAGCACTGTCAGCACGGAAAGCTAACATTACAAGAAGTTCTTTCAAGAGAGCAAAAAAAGGGGTTCAAATAGAGAAAAGGGCAGATTCAATAAGATCAACATAAACACCCAATAAATAAGTTTTGAAGTATCCTGAAGGAACATAAACATTAGTGAAACTGGTTACAGGAAATTCAAAGAAGCAGAACTAAGTCATTGGAAAATGCACATTTGCATGCATTAACACCCCTGAAAGACTTTCAAAAGAAATGAGCACAAATGCAGTAAGTCAAAACCCAAAAAACAATACCCTCAAAAAAATTACAAAAAACAACACACAAACTGTCATCATCAAGAGATAAGGAAGCTAATGTAAACATCAGTAAGAAATACGAATCCAGCATGGAAAGAGAAGTAAGATTCCACCTTGTTCTCCCAAAGCATAATGCTGGAAAGATGGAACACCCCCTGAACTTTTGTTGATGCGATCTAACTTACAGCTCTAGACTTAGCAAGAACTCCAGAATTTCATCTTAGTGGCAGTTCTTAGCTCTCTGTTCTCACAGGAGATGACTTCTGGCTGGACAGGCAGCATCCCTACACCACTTCAAAACAGCTTAAATTCACTACGTAAGCATATAATATGATCTGAGAATGCTGCGCTTCTGCTAGCATTGGAACTGGGAAACCATGCTTTGTAACAAGTGGTATAGACATCAAGTTTCAGACAAACCTGGTGACAGAAACATGAGCATATATCTGCTACTATTTTAGATGTGAACCTTTAAGGATCAAGGCTTATGTAGACACTTATGTCAAAAGAAAAAGTCATAGAAACTTTAAAAGAACCAGGGCAGCAAAGATCTTTGAAGTGATATGGAGAAGACTGAATCTCAGGTAAGTTCACTGACATGGAACTTCTTTCACATGACAGAAATCTAAAGCCTGAAACACTAATTTACTTCTGTAAAACCTGCTACAAACTGACTCAGTCAGGAGCCTGAGATCTCCTTGTCCAAAGTAAGTGTACACAGAAAAATCTTAAAACTTGTAGGAAATGAGCAGTTCATCAGCCTTGTCAGCACCAAAATCATCGCTAGGATAAACAAGGCTTTTCTGGGTGTCTTTTTTTTTTTTAACAGGTTCACCCTCTTGAATTAATGCATAACAGCCTGAAATAGCTGCCAAACATACCTGAATAAAACCAAAGTTGGACTCATAAGAGGAAAGTCCACTGGGACCTTATGTATGGGGAAGGAGTGACTGAAATCAGTGTAGTATATCCTAGAAAATCACATTCTAAGATATTTTGCACAACTGAAGAGTGAGAGAACATAGACCCTCCAAATACATTCTAGGATCAGAAAGATCAATGCAATCCTTGAAGGGACAAACAGATAAGCAGCAGAAGGAAGAGACATTACCTTCACAAAGAGAACACTCCCAGAATACCACATGCACTTCTGGTGTTTTTTTTGTTTTGGTTTGGTTTTTTTTTCCCAAAAAAAACTAAGGCAGCTACAAAAATCTGAGGTCTGGAAAACCTCTTTGCAACAAGAAATATACAAGCTTAATCCAAATTAATTACCAAAAAATATAAAGGCAGCAACCTGGTCACTGTCTGGAGAATTTCAATAGAAGACTTCTAAATTCAGCTAAAATAGGCATAAAAAGGACAAAATAGTTTAAAGTCACAGTTGGAAATAAAATACAACTACACCTTACCAAGCAAGTGGTAAACTTCCCATCAGTTTAAGTCTTTTGTGTATACTCTTGTTCAGCTACATGGTAATGAGCTGAATGATGCTCACTTACATAGCGGGGAAATAATTCTATGCACTATGGGCTTCGACGTTCTGTCATTCCCTGGTATAATGAAATTCAAAGATTAACAGATTTCAGGCTCAGAAGAAGTCTTCAGCTTCTTGTTTGAACTGCAACACTTCTCATACCTGTAGGCCAATGAAAAAATTAAGGCAAGATCTACCACAAGAAAAAGTTACAGTAACAAGGCAAGTGGTTTTTGGAGAAGTAGAGCTGTTTTCCTTCATGATTCTGGGACAGTTTTCTTGACGGCACACATTTGAGAAGCACATTGTCCACATCTTCTGAGGGCTCTCAGGAAGAGGAGAAGGCGTGTAAAGGTAAATCTAGCTACTGGCGGAACTTTAGTCACTTCCTATTAAAGTTGGACAGCTGGAGTACTAGAAATTATTTTCCCTTCTCCCCAGCCGAAGGAAGAATAGCTGTTCAGCTTGCACCTCTACCAGCAGCACTACCCAGCTCTGTAAGATGACTCATTTGAATGAGAAGCACAAAGGGCTGAGTATCCTCTTTCTTACTTATTCCATCCTAGTTCCATCTGCACTAGGACTTAAACCTGATTCCATCCACTTCAGCTTGTCAGAACAGCTAGCAAAACCTTTGCTCTCAGGAAGGTGAGGAAAGAGTTAAAATCCAAACCGTTCCAGAATTAAAGAAAGTTTCAAATCTGGACCCTGTCAGTTCTCTGTTTATGACGCACATTCCCTCCTGACAAAACACTTTCACACTGTGTTGGCTTCATGTCAGTCTGGAAAAGATTGCTTATGTATGTTTCAAATATTGTACAGATACTGGGAAAGTAGGGTATAAAATACCTAATATTCTACTTGAGAGCGCGGGCAGGTGGCATAACCACAAAGCAACTTCTCACTTTCTCAGATGTCTTGAGGGTTTTACATTTCTCTCTTCACTCCAATTGTGTTAGTACCACTAGGCAGTTTTCTCTTTATTCCTAAGCTCCGATAAGCTTTCCTTTCCGGTGCAGGGAAGACCTCACAGAAATACAGGTTTTCTTCATTTTTGTTTCTAGATCTAGTATGTAAGGGTGCCGTGCCTCCCCCCCCCAACTTAAAAGCATGTTTTGGGCAAGAAAGGCTGTTGTTATCATGCAGGGTACTGAGACACAAGGCTCTCATTTCAAAGACAGACATCACAGTGATGTAAGCCAGTTTCCTCCTAGAGCATATGGGAACTCTGCTATGAAGGCATCACATTCCAGCCTGTGTGTTTCCCTCACAGGGACACCTTTTTTCCTTGTCCTTAAGTACCTCCCTACTCATGCCAGAGCAAAACAAATAAATACCCATGAACATTCTATAAAAACAGCAAAACCCCATGCACTGGCTCCTGAGAAGAGCTCTAAGCACACCGGGAGAATATTCTTACATAAATTACATATTGTCATTTCTGCAGATAATCAGAGGATGAAAGAAAAGTAGATGTCAAATGCATACACTTTCCAAGCTTCCAATAGTTTGCATTTTAAGACCTTAATATAAAAAAAAAAAACCAAAAACAAACAAACAACTCAAAAAAAGCCCAAATGTTAGAGTTAAACCATACTGCTCACACATATCTAAAGCCATTTCCTATAAAGCTGAGTATGGATATCATTATGTAAAGATTATATGATTCCAAGAAGTCTGAATTTTTAAAAATCACAATGGAAGTGACTTAGAAGCGTAAGTTAAGCAGCATGTTCTTAAAATGAATACTTGGTGAAAACACCGCCTTCTACACTAAATCTGTCATACTTTCCTGTTTTAGAGAGACAAATTTTAAAACACTGTAAGGCTTCTGGCTTTATTACATTGTACTTTCAATAGAAAGCATATCTTTCTTTAGATATTTTAGGCATTTTGTTTTGGTGCGTAACATACATTTTTATCCCTGACTCCTCTGTCAAATTGCAAACATATGATGTATTTAAAAATTTCCCCTATTGTCCATTACCATGCTAATGCCTGCATGGAGTACCTTGTCTTGTTTGAGATTTCTTTAGCCCATGACTGTGATATTTCATCCCAAATGATACCTTAATTCCTATTCAGTTAATCTCCATCTCCACTCGAAACAGCGTTTCTCTCTCCCGTAATTCAGTGGTTTATCCTATTTTCTTTTAACAGCCTGAAAACATTTCAGGAAGACATAGCTATTTTGAGAAGTTCTGTTAAATTCTTTTTTCCTTATGCTGAAAAATCACCTGCAAGAAGTTAGATACTGCAGCATATCAGGCAAAAGTTGAATTTAAAAAAAAATTAGCAAGTTTATTTTATACTTTAGAAATGGAAGAAAGTATCATGTTTTTGTGACACTGTGACTTTTTATATTAGGGAAGCCAAAGCTTCTCATTCATTCTGTATTGAAGCTAGGTTCCTAGTATCCCCTGCACACAGCAGTATTAAAGCAGTCATGAACTGCAAACACACTTACTGAAACTAACAGAAATCAACCTAAGAACCTGATCTGGCATATTCAGATTTCCCCATGAGAAGCGTGCATTTGCCAAACAATCAATTGCTAAAAAAACTGTACCATACAATTAACATAGTAAAATTGTTCTTCCTAATGTTTTAGCTTGACCACAATAAATAAGCACGACAATTCGCAAACATTTACCTCATTTTACTGCATTATTTTCCCTATCCAAATGTGAAACCATCTTCAATCTTCTACCAATGTTTCCATCTCCCTCCCATTGCAGAGCATCCCCCCGTTTACTTTTTTCTGAAACAAAAACTTAATTACACTTTAAGTGTAATTTAATATACACACACCCAGCCTCCCCCCCCCCCACCCCCGCCCCTTCTTTGGTTTGAGTGTGAAAAGAGAACAGTATCAGCATGGAGGTATGACTTATTTAAAACTACTACAATATCAGCATAGGAGTGCAGGAGTGATGCATCACCTATCTTCATTACACCCAGGGCAGGGGGGGCGGGGAAAAACCAACCAAAACATAATTATACTTCTGAACATATATTAAGTCTACTGTGCCAACAGCCTACACAGCTACAATAGCAGCTACTCTTCTAAAACAGATAAACATTTAAAACAGAAGAGAATTACCTAAGGGGCATTTAGTGATTTTTTTAAAAAGAACACTAAAACTCCAGAATGTTTTAACATCCACAACATAAGCCACCCCACAGAATGCCACAAAACATTACTGAGCTTAAAAATGTAACACAATAAAAAAAGTTAGGATGGCTATGTACTAAAGTGATACCACAATAACATGAAAAACACTGTTTTTCCAGAGGTGAGCTGCTCTCCAGAAGACAACTGCTAAGAAGTGACAGGCACACATACTCCAGTGTTTTCTACCACTGCTGTCTGTAAAATCCTATTAGGCAGGATTCCACAACAAACCATCCTGGTAACTTACTCTGCTCTACATAACACCAGTCATGCATTTCAACAGTTCTCACACCAAGCCTCCGCAAACCTATGGCAATAAACCTCTGTCTTCACCGACATGAAACAATGGGAATCCACCGCATCTTTTGGCAAACCATTTTACTACCCACGGCAGTAATGACTTCCACTTCCAGCTGAGTTCAGCCACCTTTAGCAGCTTTTTGCGACTTGAGTGCACCCTGCAACTGTAGTAGGTTCCTGGGATAAACACGATGACTTCAGACTTTCCCAAATTTGCCAATTTTAAATGTTCCCCTGAGCAGGAGAAATTACTGTATAACAGTGCAAACCTACCAGCAACAGTTTTGTTTTTTCTTAGATTATCTCCTTCTTAGTCAACTACAGTCTGTGCAGAGATTGAAAAATCCTTTCCGTAACATGTACTGTTGCATCTTCCCAACATAGGTCTCTTAATTCCAACCACAGATCTACATGAGAAAGTGACTGTCTCTGTAGCAATTCATATACCTTTACTTTCTGCCAAATAAGTTCACCAAATCTCTTACTGCATAGGTTTACTACACTTCAAAATTAGGTAGTGGTTCCTTTCTGAGATGCTAGCAAAACACCCACATCATTTTGCAAGCATTAATATCCAAACTTGAGCAGTTCCGCTACCAACTTCAGTAATGCCCCCAGCAGGGATACTGTATTACACATCTAAGTTGTTACACATCTGAGGACACTGCATTGCTGGGGGCTCTTGTTCATTTAGTTACACTTGTACTTGCAGAAACGCTGCTTCTCATGGTACAGTTTTCCCTCTGATACAATCAGTATTTTCTGCTCTACAAGCATGACACTTAAACACACTGTTTTCATATTAGATATTAGGCTGATGAGGAATAATATCAAACCTTCCCTTTCAACACATAGAGGAAAAAAAAGTTATTGAACTTCACGTCTCATTTAAAGTAACAATTCCTTTACATTCCTACTTAAACTACGCACATAATACTTTGATTTGTGACTTGAAATTTAGCCTCGCAGCCTGCCTTCTAATGCAAAACTATCTTGTCAGAACTCAAGAGTTTTAGACAACACTTCCGCAGAACTGTCCCCCGGCTGAGATGGCATGCAAAATCTATGAGCTACAGTTAACTGGTTTACGAAAACAGGAGAACGTGCGAGCGCTACAGCCGCAGGATCTTTCCGTAGGGCTGCAATAAGCGCTCAACTCCAGTAGATGCTCAACTACGATATTAAGTCGCTGGAAGGCAGGTGCAGGCAGACGGCTCGGCTCACTCAGTAGCCCCAGCTACAAAACACGACTTAATTCCACTACAAAGAGCTTCGCGACTTGCAACAGCGCCCGGGGGAGGGGGAGTGTGGGGGGAGAGCGGAGCCGCCCGTGGGGAGGCGCACACCGAGGCTCGGCTGCCCCAGCCGCCCTCCCCGCGGCGGCAGGGGCTGGGGGGCCACCACCGGCCCTGGGGGTCACTCACCCGGGGCCCCAGGGCCCTCGCCGCCGGCCCGCCGGCCTCCCGCCGGCCCCAGGCTGTTGACGATGTAGTGCGAGACGCGGGAGCTCTCGGACACCGAGAGCACGAAGTCGCCGGGGATGGTGCCCGAGTCGCGCACCAGGAAGGTCCCGTGGCGCTGCCCCTGCAGCAGCGACACCGCCTCGGCCCGGCTCAGCCGCCCCCAGTACCAGCTCGCCCGGTCCTCGGAGTCGAACTGCCCGGCCATGGGGGCCGCCCGCCCGCAGGCCGCACTCGCTTCCCCCCCCCCCCCGCGGGCCGCCGCCGCCCGCGGTGCCCCGCTCCGCGCCCAGCCCTGCCACCCAAAATGGCGGCCCTGCCCTGACCTCACCTACCGGATGTGACCGCACGCGGGAGACGCGGGGAAAACTGTGGCGTCATCTCCCCGCGCGGCCCGATCCGGCGGGGGGCGGGTGGGGTGTTGGTTGGCGCGCTGCGCGTGCGCTGTGAAGGGGGCGGGAGGGTGCGCGCGCAGCGCGGGCTCGAGGGGGAGGCGGGAACGCGGCGCTGAGGGGAGCGGCGGAGTTCTGAGGCGTTTTGTCTCGCTGCGTCGGTACCGGCGACCGGGATGGTCTCCTCTGGGTATCTGGGAGCAGCAGTGACCGCCTCCAGAGCCGGTCCCTCCTCACGCCTTAGCCAGTGCTCTCGTATCGGCTTCTCTGTCACGGGCCGGCGGGAGAAGGGTCCTGGGGTGCCGGTGTAGGCCGTCCCTTGCCCCAGGAGGGTGGCCAGGACTTGTCTCTGCGGTTGGTACATCTCGTTAGGAGGGCTGCAGCGTAGCCCCCGAGTTTCCGCCGATGGCTTCCCAGCTTCTGCAGTTCGCTGAGGTAGTTTGTGTGAAGCCAGGCTTGCCTGCGTGTTAGGGCGCAGCTCACTCAGTTTTTTCCTCCAGAGCTGTACCAGCAGTTCCTGCCCTCATCTTCCCTGCCAGCTGCACATTCCCGCCCCATGGTTGTGCCAGTACAGCTGTTTTCATGGGACTACAGGCTGAATTGGGCCAATGAGCTGTTCTGGGTTAAAAATAGCCCTGCAAAAGAAAAAGTTTATTTTTATGCAGGGCAGTTCCCCAACTGTGTTACTGCGGGGGCCTGCCAACAGGGAAGAGCTTAAGTTCCACTGGTGCCACAGAGGAATGCACGTGTAAGCGTGTGCGCAAATTACAAGTGATGTCTGTAACAATAGAGCAATATTTACCATTTTTAGATTGTTCTCCAAGATCTCTTAAGTTGCAGAGTAATGTCTATAGAGCCTGGATAAACGTGTATTGAATTCTATTCCATCTCTGCTCAATTTTGTGAGCTTTTTCCAGAAAGGAATGTGCTTTTTTAACTGTGGTCCCCATGTGGCAGCACTTGCATAAACATAATGTTAGACCACAGCTGTCCTTAACTGTGAGGGTGCTGTGTTCCTGCCTGGCTGACAGCATCTCTACTTTCTTGCAGGGCACTTTGGAGCCTGTCTTACAGGTGGGAGCCTATGGTTCACCAAATTTGTAAGAAAACACCAGGTGCTTTATTTCAGCTTATCTGATAGTTTAACAAATGAACATCCTTCCTCTGCTGATCCTGTTCTCTCTCCAGATGGATTGTAGGTAGGAGCCAGTCGTAATCTATTTAGAAGCTAGAGTCCCAGTTTCCCTGGTGATGCGTGGAGTTTGCTAGCCAGTTGCAGAAATAGCACACTTTCATGCCTAGGTTTTTCACAGATTTGAAAAGCTGCTGAGAGCCCGGGACAGTAGGAGAGTTAAATCACAGCAGCAAGAAAAGAAGTCCATTCTGTTCAGTCATTCACGGACTTCAGAGAAACAACCCAGGACTTTCTTACCATGGCAAAATTCACCATTTTTCTGACTCCTGCCAGACCATTTTTTTTTACAAAAAGTCTCCTTTTGACTGAGGGCCCACAGACTGCTTTTTTTCCCCTCCTTTCCCAGTCCCCACCCTTGCACCCCATCTCATTCTGTTTTCAGCTGAACCACAAAACTACAGTTTTGTGGTGGTGGAGGTTTTCATCAGGTTGGGTTTTCTCTGCTGCAAGCAGTTGGGAATCTTGTTGCAAGAGTTCCCTCTGGTGGTCAGGGATGGGGAAATGAATAATGCTTCTGTTGCAAGACGCTCCTTTTGATACTTTTATGCTGTAATGATTTCTTGTTCAGTCACTCTCTGGCTTTCATTATTTGTAACAGCCTTTTCTTACTTGGGCTTCTCCTGATAACGACTGGTAACCTTTTCCAAATTCCTTTTTCCTCCCATATTTAACCCCTGCACTCCTCAGTAGTTTACTACCCTTGACCCATCCTTTCTGCACAAAGGCTACAAAAAAGGTGGAGCCCTTCTGCCCAAACCTGCTTCCTGTGCTGGTCTTTCACAGGCAGAGGGATTGCAGCCCGAGATGAATGTGAAAGGAAAACAAAGCTCTTGGCCACAGTCTCAGAAGAATAAAACTAAATCAGCTTGTAATTCTGAAGAATTCACTGTTAATAATGAGATTCTGAAAGAAGTTGTAAAATAGTGAGAGAATATTCCATTCACCTACCTGGCAGTAAAAGCCCCAGTGGCACCCAGGCCTGGTTTTCCTCTCTCACAGCCTGGTCTTCCTCTTGTGATTTTATTGTCCCTACCAGTTAGCCTAGAGATTATTTTTTCCTAAGGAGCTCTAAAACTTTGGCAACTGATCTAAAGCCCTGATTAATCAGTAGAAAGTTTCTTGCTGAGTTCAATGAGCAGGTCGTGAAATTGTGCCAAGTGGAGAGTCCTGTAGTATAGCAATGTTCTGTCCTAGGCGACATTCAAGGATGTTAAAACAAAATAAGGAAACATCTGGGTTAACTGAAGGCTCCGTCTGCTAATGACAGCAGCGCAAGGCAACCTGGTGTCACACAATCCTGCCCTAACCGTTACTTTGAAGGGTTAGGCTTTGTAAATCTGCTTGAGATAGGCAGACATCAATACCGTGTCCTACTTATAAAATTAAAACTAAAGGAGGAAAAGGTGCATCTTTTGGTTTCTTTTCCCTGCGGCCTCAAGAAATAGTGTTTCTGCCACAGAAAGATGTTTCCTCTTGCAATTATTTTGGAATCTGCTCCTCGCAAGAGGTGTCTATGTCCTGTTTACTACTGATGTTCATATTATGCGTGTGTGGCCTCTGCCATAACCGTTCACACCTGGCTTGGAAGTGTCACCTGTGTCAGAGGTTCCTGCCAGGTGCTGGCTACATGATGTCAGCACCAAATATAGGAATTTTGGTGAATGCAGGTGACATTAGCTAATTGTGTAGAGCTCTGCACAGAGACTGTTAAAAATAAATACGTTTGGAGTGTGTGATGGGTAGCAAGAAGATCTATTAGTCCTGCTGGATTATGTGTAAGGAGAGGAGCCTTTATGTTGCCAGCTGCAAAATTTTTTCATGATAAAGGAAAATTTGCTACTGAATTTTGCTGGGAAGTCCCATCAATTCGGAGGGAAGGTGACGCATTGCAGAGGATGGGCTGGAGAGTTTTGGTTTGAAAAATGTGCAGAGCTGAGGAACGGAGCAGCCTGAGCAGGGTGGAAGGGTCCTGCAGCTGGAGAAATATAGGAATTCTTAATGAAATTGGCTGGGTGTGACAGAAAGGGGGGTGATAATTCACGGTGATGATGATGAGGTGCGGCTGTGGAGCCCGTCAGTTGTGGTGTTACGCCACAGATGGGAAAATAACGATGCCAAGGCAGGAACAAGCCCTCAGCTAGAACACAGTCCTGGCCCATTGTGTGCAAGGGGGATAGAGCTGATGAGCGTAATTAGGGGAATGAAGAACTTGTCTCATGGGGACAGATAAAACCAGTACGGTTTATTTAGGCCCAGAGGAGATAGGGCTTCTCTCTCGAAACAGCCTGAACGCCTTGGGTGGGAAAAAAATTCTTGACAAAGAGAATAACAGAGCCCGAGAACAACAGGATACAGGCTCGCTGCAGAGAACTTTAAGCTGAAAATTCGCTTTATTTTATCAGAGATGTAAAATTCCAGAGGGATCTTTCGGGGGGGGGGGACGGACCCACAACACTTTAAGAATTCAGATCACTTTTATGAAAATCATTGTAGGAAGCAGAGCCTGCTATAACAAGGTCTGGACCTTATACCCCCCCCCCGGTCCTGTATTTCTAGGCACACCGGGTATTCTTCCCCCGTGGCGCGGCCCCGAGCCCCGCGTCAGGCTTGGGGGGGGTGCCTGGGGAAAATGGCGGGGCAGCCCTCTCGCTCTCCGTAGCCCTGGAGGACCGGTGGCGCCGCGCTCTCCCCGTGTCTCTATGGCCGCGCTGTGCGCCCGAGCCTGTCGGCCCCCAACCGGCTCGAGCTTCGGGTGGCGCTCTACCCCGCCCTGGCGTCTCAGTGGTGGTTCTGGGCGGCGGCGCTCTGCGCCGCGGCGGTGCCCGTCTCGTTTGCCGGGCGGAGGGCGGGCCTGGCGGAGCCATGGCGGCCGTGCGGGGCCTGCGGATCTCGGTGAAGGCGGAGGCAACGGCGACAACGGCGGAGCCTCGCGGCCCGGAGCCTGAGCCTATGGAAGTGGAAGAGGGCGAGCTGGAGACCATCCCTGTGAGGCGCTCGCTCCGGGAGCTCATTCCGGTGAGGAGCGTGCGGTGAGGTCACGGGCAGGGGGGACGAAAGAGGGAGCAGCTCCTGAGAGGGGACAGGGTGGGGGGTCTGCGGGGATCTGTAAGGGCCTTTGGGGGTACATGCGTGGGAAAAGGGGCGACGTGGGGTGCGTGCGGGGAAGCGATGAGGTGAGGATGGCGGGGAGGGGGGGCATGAGGGGGCTCAGGGGTGTATGAGGGGAGTGTGGGAAACAGTCGTGGGAGGAAGCGGCCAGGATGTGCTTGGGAACGAAGGGAATAAAGGAGGTGGTGGAGAAGAGGATTTGGGGTGTAGGACCGGACTGTAGAGAAAGGCTGTGGGTGGGAGAGTGTAAAAGGAGGGAACACAGGGAGTACCTGGAGTAGGGAGCAGGGGGGTGACCGTAGGAGAGCTGAGTTGGAGGCACTGGGAATGTGGGCTCTGATGAGTGGATTTTGAGGGTTTCCTTTTTATTTTTTTCCCCCTTTTTCGTTTTTGTTAATTATTCCTGTACAAGTTTTAGTAGGATCAGGTTTAATACATAAAAATGCATCAGAGTTCTTCTAACCTCCTAAGTAGTCTTTTGCTCTCAAAACTTGTGTGGCAATTACTTCAGAAACTAATCTCTAATTAGCTGATTTAGCAACATGCTTGAGCTTCTACCAAATACATGGCCTAAGAGACAGCACCCTACTGTCCTCTCTTGTGCTCTATGAGTCAACCTTAGATAGTGTGTGTGTGTGTGTCTTAAA